CTAAAAAAAGTTAAAATACAGAGAAATGTTTCTCTCCCTGCCTTTTCTACTGTACCTTCCCTCCTCCACCAAAAGAAACCTGTTTTTGTTTTTGTTTTGTTTAGTTTGTTTGTTTGTTTGTTTGTTTGTTTTCCTTACCCTTGTAAAATATGAGCACTTCTTTCTCTCCATCTGTTCTCCCCTCCCCTCCCGGAGGGAAATAGTAATGTAGCCATGCACCATTTTTTCTGCTTGCTGTTTCACTGAACCAGTAGTCTGGAGAAGAGAGACTTAGTACAGAGGGGCCACACCATTTTACAGTTGTATGAACTCTGTTGTTGTGTGTCTGTACCATACTTGGTTCAGTCTGTTGCCTGCTGATAGACATTAGGGTTGCTTTTTTGGAAGAAATTGTTCTAGGGATGGCAAGGTGAACATCATTCACCTTTGCAAGTGAGAGTAGGATTTGATTGGCCAGAGGTTTGCTGTTCCTATTGGACTACTCACCACTGTTCCTCTTGGTTCAGTTTTGCAGAGTTCTACATTTTCTGGAAAGGGAAGGGGGTACCTCCCGTCCATCTTGGGTATTCCGTTAGCATCTGGCACAGTCCGAAGCCATAATGACAGACCAGAGGGCTGGGTATTGCCAGAGGCTTTCCAAGTGCTGCATCCAGAGTCCCTGTAGAGTCTTCCTTTGAAATACTCTGTAAACCGGTTCCTAGTTGTCAGGACTTGGCTGCAGGAGGCAAGCATGTGAATGTAGGGGGCTGTGGAGCCAGTGTGGGCCTTGGCTGCTCCTAGAGCGAGGTGGGGGGCAGTGGACACCTCGTAACAGAGTTTGGTTAGTTGATGGCAGACTTAATTCATGGGAGCCACAATTTCTCACAAATTATGCCTTTTCAGAGCTTTCCTTTGTAAAATCTGCTTTTCGTGATCTGCTGTGAGTTAGCCTGCTCCTTGGGGGATGGGGGTGTAAAGAATCTGGGGCTGTAATCCAGAAATTCAAATAAGGACCATACAGAGAGAAATATAGTTGATTCACTGAGATTTACATGATACTCCTCAAAGTAAGTATGCCTTCCTTACAAGAAAAGTTTATTCTAACTGGATGAAAGGTGAGTTCCTAATTGATGTAAAGAAGAAGAGGCAACTCTGAATCCAGTTGCTTTTGTGGTCATTCTGGGCCACGTTGCTCCAGAGCCCATGTCCCCTGGAGTGTCACCTTTTAGACAAGAAAATAAGTGTCTCTGGGTTTCAGGAAGTGTCACACAGACACTTGAAGCTATAATGCTGGACTTCCTCAGCCTTCCTTCCCATGTGGACAGGAACCTTAGCACCTGTGTTTCTATAGGAATGTTCATTAGGCACATCTGTTTTTAACTTCCTGATATCCGACAGTAGGTATTTTTAATTCACTTCATGTAGAATCCATTCATTCCGCAAATACTGATTTATTGAGTGTACTTTTTGTTCCAGTGTCTTCCTCGGCCTTGAAAGTATATACTGATGTCAGTGAGTGAACAAACAACACCTGCCTCCATAGAGCTTCCATTTAGTCAGCGACACAGACAAACAAAAAGATTGTGTAAACCCCGTAGCTTACCACAAGGTGAGAGGTGCCTTACAGAAATAAAATGGAGAACGGGGAGAGGAAGGACAGTTTCTGTAGGAATTGAACGTACAACAGTGTCATTACGAACAAAAACTATACTTTCTCTTTCTTTCTTATTCTGTTTTTGTTTTTGTTTTTGTTTTAATTAACACAGCATTTGGGTAGGCAATCCTTAACAAGCTGTTCATTTTTGATCATAGACATGTAGCAATCCAGGGACTGTGACCCATTCATTCTTAGACATCCTGGACATTGGTACGTGCAGGAAATCGTGCAGGAAATGGATTTCCTGCCCTTTGCTTTTCCCTGTAGAAACTAAGGCAGTGCGTTTCCTGTCTATAAACTAGGACTGACGTGTCCCACCTGCCTGCCCCTGAGGCTGCAGGTCAACGTCAGATACACACTCGTACATCCGGTAAGTGAAGCTTTGCTGAGTTAGAGCATCATGCTTGTTACTAGTTCAGGAACAAGAACTTTAAAGTTGTAATTCTGCTTCATAACCCAGACAATGTTCCTGTGGTGTATCTTCTGCCTTTGTGACACTGGCACCAGGTTAAATCTTGGAGAGTATAACCCAAACAGGCGTATGTGGCAATGATTTTAAGCCCGTTAGAGGCTCACGGTGCTTCTTTGATACTGTGTTTCATGGGTTGTAAGATTTTTTTTTTTTTTTAACTTCTTGGGAGGGGGTGTGGTCAGCAGATGGGTGATTGACATGTGCCTGTCGCTGACACACCACAGATTGGAAGATGCACCCCGATGCAGGGAGGTTAGCAGGTGAAAACAATTATTACTTAAATAGAGAATATGTGGTTTTTACTTCGTAAGTGACTTTTGTTGAAGTTTTAAAACTATCCCGGTGAGTTTTCTGAAGCTCTGTTATGGGAAAAGGAAAAAGGTAAAGTGAGTATTTTTTTTGCTCTTAGAGTTCAAGTTTGGGTGTAAATAAGGTTTTTCTTTAGGACACAAGTGAGAGCCTAGTTGGGGGATGAGCTTGCTGGTGAGTCTCAGGGGACTCTTCCTTAGTGCTGCCAGCTTGGGGGGGAATCTGGATGACAGGCGAAGCAGAACAGAGGCGGTCAGGACTCCTCACACTTGGCATTTACTTCTTGGTGAAACAGAATGGCACTTTCCCACACGAGTGTCTTTGATGGGCGGTTTTGGGTTCAACTTTTGGCGCCCATGGTGGCGCGTATGGCCTTGCTTGCTTTGTGAGATACGATGACCCAGAGGGAGGAGTTGATCATGGGTCACGGTCATCTCGTCTCTCTGCTGAATCAGATATTGTTTTGCATTTAAAAAGTTCAGAATGTTGGCCCAGGAAGATGTTAGATGCTATTCTCTTTACCGAAAGTGGGGTGAATGTTTTCAGCCAAATATCCTAGTACATTTTTAAGAACTCAAATTTCTGTATGTGGATCTGCAGTATTTTTGACCAAGGAGATTGATTCTCTTTTGAAAAGTATCAAAGATGTTGGGAGACCAAAAAAAAAGAAAAAAAATACTGAAGTTGTTGCCTGTCTTATCCCGGGGATAAGCGGTAATCCCCCAAAATACCATTGGCCCTCATCAGTATTACCCTAAAAATCCTGTCTGATGTTTCAGAAGGTCACTTGGTGATGACATTCTGGCTTTTATAACAGTGCTGCTTCTTACTTTTAATAGTACCTTTCGTTCATAAAGAAGCTTAGGAACCATCATTCAGTTGTCCTTCTGCACATTTTTGCTACTTTAGAGAGAATTAAAGCTACTAGTGTGAAAAATTTTGTAAGTTCTTGTCAGGGCAAAGTACCCAGATTGTGACCATGTGGCATAGCCCCCTTGTCTTTTTTTTTTAATTGTTTATTTTAAGTAATCTCTACACTAAATGTGGGACTCAAACTCATGACCCCTAGACCAGGAGTTCTGGGCACTTCTGACTGAGCCAGCCAGCACCCCTCCCCCCATCCTTATTGAAGCTTTAGTATCTTTAATTATAAAGCTGGAATGATAAAACCTCTTAATGCGGTCGTCATGATGTTGAAATCCGAGCCCGCATGTTAAGGACTGGAATCCATATGTAGCATGTATCAGTGGCTATGATTTAGTATTGTTCCCATTTAATACTTGAATTACTGGATTTGTAAATAACAACACTTTTCTGGACTGCATGACCAAATAGTACATGTGGATCATTTTAAGTGTTCAGAATCAGAATTGAGTTTCATTATTGTTGAGAGGCACTATTAATCATTCTAGGAAATGGTAAAAACCCAAATTGGTGAAATGTGTTTTTAAAATTCCAACATCTTGTGCTGAACACTTCTTTGGCTTTTCTAAAAAGAAAGAATCTGGCTTTCTGTTGTTAGTGTTTGTTTGCTTGCTTTTTAATTTTACCTCTGCTGATGAAGTAAATAAGATGAGAAAATAATTGAGAGTTTCATGTTGTGACTTGAAGTTTGAGATCTTACTGCGGTTCCTCTGAAGACAGATAGATGATCAGAGCTGTAAAACTAAGGAAGGATCTGCTTGGGAAGGCTAGATTTTCCTTTTCTGTTGTAATTTGTGAAAACAGTGAGAGAAGTAATAAAATATATCTAGAAATTTCACCAAAAATATTGAGTCATACCAACAGACTTCATTAGGATTTTCAGTGTGTTAATGAGGGCCACACCTGCCTGTCACCCGAGGTTTGTACTTAGTATGTGACATAATTTTTCTAAACACCTTAAGGTAACTTAGTTCTGTTGTAACATTCTCAAATGCCAATCAGTCTGTGTGTGTGTGTGTGTGTGTGTGTGTGTGTGTGTGTGTGTGTGTGGCTTTGTGTGTGTGTGTGGCTTTGTGTGAGAGGTTGGTGAAGCTTGACTGCTGGGGTCAGGTACTGCCCTGGAACAGGGAAGATGCCCTAGATCCCAGATTATAGAAAGTCACCATCCAGGATAACGTTTGGAGACCATTCTGTCTCTTTCTTGCAAGACCTACAACCCAGTTTGGTTGAGAGCTTAGCATGCTGGGGAGGGCAGGATGGGGGCAGCTTGGGGGAGAACAAGAGGTGAGGTGTGGGGAGGTGCTGGTTTAAGGTGAATGAAGCACATATGTGTGGAAATGTATTCCCTGCAGACGTAAAGTTAAAGAAAGCAGGAAGCACGCAGGAAGACAAAGACGGGGCCTTCTGTGATGGCTTCCCAGGTGACAGGCAGCACTCAGACATGTTCTTCTTCAGAATCCCAGGAGGGGATGAAGTAGCCCATCCACGTCTCTGCCAAAGCAAGGGCTCTTGCCTTTTGCTCCATCCTTCCTGGCCATGCAGTTGGTGGAGGGACAACGTTACATGAGTGGTTCGGTGACGACGATGGACCTCCGGTGGCATGAAGAGTCCTGTCCTCTCTGTTTCTGTCTAAGTGTGCTCCAAATGTTTGTTTTTCAGGTGGCAGAGATAAACGTGGAGGTCCCATTTTAACGTTTCCAGCCCGCAGCAATCATGATAGAATACGACAGGAGGACCTCAGGAGACTGATTTCGTATCTAGCCTGTATCCCTAGGTAAGTTCCGTGTGGTTCATGGTTACTCAGTGTTGCCACCGTCCCAAGACATGTGACTTGAATTCCAAGCAGACGAAACAGTACAGAACTAAAATCATGATCTTTCTCCCTTTTTATTTTAAAGACTCTGGTTTTTTTTTTTTTTTTTTTTAACATTTGTTTTTGAGAGAGAGTGCACAAGCAGAGGAGGGACAAAGAGAGAGGGGGGACAGAGGATCTGAAGCGGGCTCTGCACTGACAGCAATGAGCCCCGTGTGGGGCTTGAACTCACGAGCTGTGAGACGATGCATGACCTGAGCTGAGGTTGGATGCTCAGCTGACTGGGCCACCTAGGCGCCCCTTGATCTTTCTCCTTATTTCCATTTTGTGACCATTCTGTCCTGTATACAGCACTTCTGGGTGTGGAGATGAGAAGCATGTGTCTTTCTTGAAGAGCTTCGTGTGGAGGTGATGGAGTTGGGACGCCCACGAGGCTGGGATTAGGATGTGGTGCTGGAGGTGGACAGTCATCGGTGAATCTGGTACCAGCACGCAGTGTGCTGTAAGACCAGAAATGGAATGCTGTTTCTAAAAATGTGTTTGTCTTCAGGCTCAGCTTCAGGGCTTTTTTTTTTTTTTTTTTTTTTCTTTTTTCGAAGTTTATTTATTTTGAGAGACAGAGGGAGAGAGTGAGTGTGTGTGAACGGAGGAGGGGCAGGGAGAAAGAGAATCCCACGCAGGATCCCCGCTATCAGCGTGGAGCCTGATGCGGGGCTCGAACTCATGAACTGTGAGATCATGACCTGAGCCGAAATCCAGAGCCAGATGCTTAACTGACTGAGCTACCCAGGTACCTGTGAGCTTCAGTTTCTTTCTTAAAAGTATTCTCTTGATTTTGTGGCATGATGTTTGGTGGGGCTTTAAAAATCTTTACCAGGTGATATGCCACGTTTGGGAATCCCCATTCAGTTGGAGACCCCATTAGTGATAGGGTGGTTTAGTGTGGATTCTGAAGAACACTAAGAACAGGCAAAGCTGTATTTTCCAGGTGATTTTTTTGGAGAAGGAATACCTCTGTGATATAGTCCAGGGATTTAGGCATGTCTGCAGAAGAGAGATTGCGTGTGTTTGGGTTGGAGGGGTGTTTCCCTGTGAGGAAAAGGAAAGGCATGTGCTAAAAGGGGCATAATCAGCGTGCTGGAATACGAGGAGGCCAAACGAGGACGTGTGGAGGAGAACTCGGTCATTATATAGGCTACAGTAGACAGTCACTTTAATGAACGTGTTATGCAAGAGAATGATGAGAGCTGGTCAGTAGCAGCGTCAATGGGGTCTCAAAGGTGGAGGTGACTGTCATGGATCTGCCACAGCACGTGGGTTGGGACACTCCTGGCCTATTTAGGTTGACACCAACAAAGGAAGACAGCAGTGCCCATTTGTAACCCATCCTTGCTGTGGCTGAGGAAAGTCAGCTTTTGCTGTTGACGGTCTGGCCTGCTGAGGAAGTTGGTGGGTTTTCCGGTTTGGGCATCCTTTATGAGACAGCAGTCACTTTGCATCATCAAGGACAAAGTGATGTATGGAAGAACTCACTCTTTCCTCCTACTCTGGTATTTTCTTGGGCTGTTGAACTGTTGACACCGTGAGTTAGAAAGGGGTTTAGAAGTTTTGGTCTACTCGCTATCATTTATAAATAGCACTTACAGTTGACGAGCACCGTTTACGGAGTTCTTCTGTGTGTGCTCGGTGCTGGACTCATGGTGGAAGAAGAAACAAATTCAGAGGACGGTGTAAAAAATAAATCTCTGCCAACCAAAGTGATACTCATCACATAGTATAATAAGAAAGCTGAATTTGGCATATATCCAGCTTAGTTTTGAAAACATTAACATAGTGGAATGGCTGTGTGTAACTTTGGCAACTTGCTATCTGGTTTTAAAATCTGTGTCGATTGTAAATATTAAAATTGGTTCTATTTCACTGACATTGTAAAAAAAAAAATTGATCCACGTGTATTTTGGATCATCTGCATGACCCACCTAAACCTACCAAACTTGGTCGTGGAAAATTGTGAGTGTATACAAAAGTAGTGAGAATAGTGTAGTGAGCTCCAGCTTCAGTGATGATCAGATTTTGTCAGTCTTGTTTTTCTCTGACCCTCCCCCCCCCCAGAATATTTTATAAAAAACCCCAAGAATCCTGTCATTTCACTTACAGGTACTGAAGCGTATTGAAGGGTGAACCTTCTGCTGTTGAGCACAGTCACTTTTATTTCATTGCCTGGGTTTGCTTTTGTATTTACGATTCCCAGTGACAGGAAACATCCTTTGCCTGACTTGGTAAATGATGAGATAAGTGGGATGAACGTGTAAATGACCCATTTCTCAAGTGATAGTGGGCAAATTTCACAGTGGTCCAAATAGAGAAAGGGGACAAAAAAATGAGTCCTCTGTGCCCCTTGCGTGGGTCTACCCGGACCAGACATGAGCTGCTCTGTCTCCCTGGAGTGCTGGGTAGCAGGAACATTGTTCTGGTTTAGCCAAACAGGAGGGTCCATAAAACCACTCTCAGACTAACGGTGTGCAGATTTTTTCCACTGGTGGGTTTGCTTGCGGTTAACTCTGATTATCTGTTGCTATAGTTTCAGAGTGGCATGAATCATTCTGGGAGTCATGAGACTTCTTTTACCTGTCCGTTACTCCTGGTGGTTTCTGGGATGTGAAGGTAGCTACCTTTTGCTGTCCCTCAAGCTGGGCAGTCTCAGGGCCCTGCATTCCCGGATGTGGAGAAGTGTGCCATCCAAACAGCACGGGCAGCAGAGTCGGACCAGCTGTGACGTGTCCCAAGCACATTACTTTTATCAGTTTTCTGATGTACAGAATGTGGTAGTAACGTGGGATCATTGTGAGTAATGACTGAGGATACTTAACGTCCGTGCCCAGGGCAATGCCTGACACAGGGTCGCTACCTCAGAAACAGTCCGATAATCTCCATCATCTCTACACACTCTTCCGTTTTCCTTCCTTTATTTTTCGTTTGGTTGTGTGCTCTAGAGCTGGGTTATCTTGTTTTTCTTCTGCACGTGCCTCTTAAAAGGTGGCCCTCGAAGATCAACACGAAGTGAGCTGAGCAGTGCTGAGGAGTTTGAGGATTACTTGGGTCACCTTCTCTGCCCTTCCTCCCCCCCCTTTTTTTTTTTTTATAAGCAATTGAAGTAATAGAGTAAATGTCATGGAATTAGTTTGCAAGGAAATTTTTCCATTAACTGTGTGTAGGAGAAACAAGTCTCACTAGAAATTCTTGCTGGTATAATTGGGATTCCCACACAGTGATGAGAATAACCTCAGTCTTGGTACATCTCTAGGTGTTTATTGCTCTTATTGTTTGAAATACACGCAACTAATTATGTTCTAGATCGTCTTACCTTCTTTAGGATGATTTATAGTGGCTCCATGGATAAGTCACCTCAACTCTCTTGTAACTGGTGAAGTAATATGAAGACTTTTGACTGATTCATTCATGAACATTCACATAAAAAGCTACTTTCTTCGTCTAGAAACTGAAGAGCGTTTCTCTCTTTCAGAGACCAGCATTGAAAAGGGACCTTAGTTGTATCTAAAATTGCCTTATCTCACAGATAAAATGAGGCTCTTAGGTGAAACTGCTGAAGTAACTGGTTGACAGCCGCACTTTCCCATGAGCGCTGTCTTCCGGGAAGGGCCGCGTGGACCCCTTCCCTTGTACACAGCTGCCCGCATTGGTTAGCTGCTCATAAATACACCTGGGTTCGGGAGCCTGCAAATCTTCCTTTCTTTTTTTCCTTTTTTTTTTCCTCTCCATGTTTGTTTGTTTTGAGAGAGAAGAGAGAACGAGTCGGGGAGAGGCAGACAGAGAGGGAGAGAGAGAATTCCAGGCAGGCTCTTCACTGGAGACGTGGAGTCTGATGCAGGTCTCGATCTCAGGAACCGTGAGATCATGACCTGAGCCAAGAACAAGAGTCAGATGTTCAACTGACTGAGCCACCCGGGTGCTCCACAAGTCACTGCTTTCTTAATAAGGACTGGCTTTTAACTGGGTAAAGAGACAGATTGTAAGGATGTGCACTCCCAGCCCAGTTCACGTGCTGTTTCATTACTTGAAAAGCCACTGGGTGGTTGGTTTGATTGTGGAGGAGGGTGGATAGCGAGTCCTTTTGTAAACTGGGCCAGCTCAAGTACCTTCTGGTTGTGGTGTTCCCTGACTTGTTCCTGTCGTTGAGCCTGGAGTTACTCCGGATTCCCTTTCAAGCGGAGGGTGCGGTTTTCTGTGCACGCTTGCGTAGCGCTCTGTGAGGAGAGGCACAGGCTGCCGGAGAACTGGCCCGGATGTGGTGAGGGCCGATGCCCCGAGGGCAGCCCGGCAGATGGCACCCACTGAGGCCCGAAGGGCCCGGCTGCACTGCACAGTCGCCCTTCTTTGTTGTGTGGCTGCAGGTAGAGCGTCCGCAGTGGGATGTCCCTCTGGGGCAGGCTCCCTCTGCTCAGGCAGAGCCCGAAGAAGTCCGGAATGCTCCCGGTGACTTGGGAGATTTTGGGAGACATTTCTGGAAGCCCCGTTTGCTTCTAGGATTTGTGAAGGAGGCCTGTGCTGTTCTCTCGTTTGTGGCCCGGGACCTACTTGAGACAGGGAGACATGATACCAGGAGGGTCGTGTGAGCCGAGTGTTAACTCATTAGGAGTTTTTATTCACGTGCAGTTGTAGACGGAAGTGCATCAAAGCATTCCTAGCAGTTTCCACCTCTGAGTGAGAAGCTAGGCCTCTGATCAGCCTTGTCATCTCTTGGTGGATTTCCACACCATGTTTCTGGGGCCTGAGCCACCACCCACGCAGGGTCTGTCTCCACAGACTGTTTGAAATGTTTTGTGACACGCCTGTTACATGGATGTAGCTGTGACAGGAACTTTGCATCTGTGAAATTGGGAACAACGGCTACTCTGATGCATCAAGATAAGGAAAGGAATGGTGTCTACATGCACGCGTTCATGTGGGGAGGGGGAGGGGAAGGTAGAGGGTGAACTTATGCAGTAGAACATGAAACTGGTTTGTTTGTTTGTTTGTTTGTTTGTTTGTTTGTTTGAGAGAGAGCGCAAGCAGGGGAGAGGGGCAGAGGGCGAGAGAGAGTGTGAAGCCGGCTCCACGCTCAGCATGGAGCCCGACTCGGGGCTCAATCCCACGACCCTGGGATCATGACCTGAACCAGTATCAAGAGTCAGACGCCCAGCCGCCTGAGCCACCCAGGCAGCCCAGCAATTGGTTTTAGTTTTGACTTAATTTGTTTTCGCTTTTTAACTTCACGTAAATGGTAGCAATTAGTTCTCTTGAGTTTTAATTTATGAACTGTAACTGTATGAATTTATAACTATAAATGGTTACTAGTTTCTCAGGTGATTACCCGAGACAGAGAAATGTCAGGTGTCTTTCCTGTAGGCCCGTACGTTCACGTTGGGTGAAAACCCAAGTTAGTCACTGCGCGGTTGGGGTCGTAGGTGTGATTCCAGGTGACCTCAGCGGCGGTCACGATCTGGCTCATGTCTGACCGGGATCAGCCGCCTGCACGGACTGCGTGTGTCCACCACAAGACAGCTAGGATGACGGCCCTTCCGCAAGGGTGAGCCTGCTCTGAAGTCTCTGGAGAGCTTCCGCATGAACACCGGAGTTCTCACCGAGTGCGACTGAGGATTTGTAACCTATCTTCAAGGGCGATTTAACTCTGGATATTCTTTATTACAGAAGTGCATTACATATACTTCCCATGTACCCAGGGGTTGAGATTTAATAGAACTACTAATAATTATGAGCAACTGGCTTTTTTGTTTGTTTAAACTTGCCAGAATGCGGAGGGGAGTGCTGAGGGCTGGTATGTCACTGCTGCAACCCGGTGAAAAAGACAAATAAGTCTCAGTATCACCATGAAAATCTGTTTACCACCAAAACCCCACCAGAAGGGTGCCAAGGACCCTCAGGGAACCTCCGAGATAGCTCAGAGGCCCGAGCCAGTGACAGGGGACAAAATGGGACATTGGAAAGTTCCAGTGCACTGGGATGGGTGGTTTCCGTACCTGGGAGGCTCTTGCGACTGCTGTTCTTTGACCTGTGACCTTCCCCACCTGGGCTCTGTGCACCTGTCAGGGGTCTGTCCCTACTGGTGCTCACCAGGGACCTTTGCTGTAATAGTTACTAGGCAATGGGTGCGATCACTTAATACACAAAAGACGAGCAATTCCCTCCCCACCAGCCCACCTGACTGTACGGAGCCCCACAGACGGGAGTCAGCCTCACCTGGTGGGACTCAGAGAAAGGGTCGCATGGCTTAAACCTATTTTTTCCTTCTCTCCAGTGAAGAAGTCTGCAAGCGAGGATTCACGGTGATCGTGGACATGCGCGGGTCCAAGTGGGACTCCATTAAGCCTCTTCTGAAGATACTGCAGGAGTCCTTTCCCTGCTGCATCCATGTTGCCCTGATAATCAAGCCAGACAACTTTTGGCAGAAACAGAGGACTAATTTTGGCAGTTCTAAATTTGAATTTGAGGTAACTTCCATGTGTAGCCGGACCAATTAAACCAATAGGTGTGGTTTCTTGAAAGTGGACTTTTCCTCCTCATTTTAGATATCAGATTTTTAAAGCCACATATTAAATGGGAGCTGCACATCTTGTTACATGTGGCATGTAAAATTAGTTATTGCGTAAAACAACAAAAATGGGTTCGTTTATCCCGTTACCCTACTGGATTATTTTTCCCGAGGGAGATACAGGCTCCAGTCCTCTTGGTTTTGGGTGGTGGGGCTGCTGAGGTACAGGGTGTGTAGCATAGGACAAGGTTCCCTTTTCGCCTGATAAAATAGCTTTACCTTCCAGTACTGGTGGCTCTGTGTGGCCTCAGATTCATTATCCTTGCCTCCGTCTTAGAAATAAGGGAACATCGTGGAGACATTCCCAGCTTCACATGTCCGGAAGAAACGGAGTTTTTACCTTGTCCTTGCTAAATGGAGAGAATGATCTGTTAGGTATTTCATATATCAGCTCTCTCATTTATGAGAAGGGAGATAGTCCTCTAAAAATGACACCGAGTGCCAAATTCAACAGCGCATACGGTCGCGGTCTCCCAGACGGTGCACAAAACAAAAGCCTCAGCCTGTTGCTAATTTAACTTCCCTTCCCACTGACACCTCTCCTTCAGCTAACCAAGGCTCTGACAAGGCTTTGGTGCAGTTCGTGTAATGAAATGGTTATGGGAAGAAAGTATTCTGGCCAGCTTGAAAATTGATTCATGCCCTGTTCTGTAATAGAGTGTTTTCTAATAAGATGTAATGATTTTTGGTTGAATAGATTGCTTCTCTTAGCACCTTTGCCCAGACAGTAGGTTTTAGTGATGTATTCATGTGTGTCGATAAGGTAAACAACAACAATAGTATTAAGCACATCACACAGTATTAATTCTCAAGCTTTATGTTACCTGTTAACTTCTCAAAGTGTTTTCACATGGGTATTACTTACATTTTAAAATCTTCTTCCGTGGTACCGATTTTCAATCTGATATCGGAGTTTAGTTTTAATTTGAAACTACATTCAAGAAATGTAGGTAAAAGATGAAACCAGTAAGCCCTTATTTTCACATGGTAAAGAGTGATTTTGGATGACAGTTGATTGGGTCTTATTATTTTCTTAACACAGAATTATTTTTATTATTATTAACACAGAATTATTTTCTTAACACAGCGGGTTGTCTTTAATTACACACGTTTTAAGCAGAAATAACGGTTTAGCAATATAATGCGTGCACGTTTTTGCTGGTCTAATTTTGATCTCTCCTTCTGGGCCTTTAAAGTTACCTGTACCAGCTTTTCTACTGAGCTTATTGTCTCTACATTGTTACCAGCCTCGGCCTCTCTCTGTGAAGTGATTAGATCCGTGGGTGTTATTAAAAGTCTGAGCAAATGAGACAGGAATGAACCTACAGTCAATTGCAGGCCAACACGCTGGGCTGGGAGCAGCCTGTCTTTCTAGCTCAGTTTGTTGCTTTTTGCAGGTTCTCATGCCAGCCATCCTGGAGTCGATGCACTCCTAAGTCTCTCTAAGGCCGGAGGTGACAGAGGTGGGGCTAAACCAGCCTTCCTCTGTTTTGTTTTTTGCTTCTGGGCCACAAATCTTTTTTTCCTTTCACTTTGTCTTTGCATTTCATGACTCCTCTCCCACTCCCTGTGTTTCCCTTGAGGCACGGTATTGGTAGTAACCCTGCAGCAGCATGTGGTATAGGTTGGGTGAGGTTAATCTGATTTTTGCTTAGATTGTAAAGGATGAAAACTTCGTCACTGTTAGATTGGAAAGTACAACGCTTATACTAAGAACTGTGGCAGATCATTGCAATGAATGAAACTCTCCCTCTGTCTTTAGCTTTGTGACAGGAGTTTCCGCCCCTTCTGGCTACTTCTGTATATTCTGTAAAATTTAAAAAAGCCATTCATATCCTAGCATCCACTATGTGATGGGAGGTGAAGTTAGGACAGGGTGAGTGGTAATGGTGGTCCGGTGGGAGCGCTGTTTATCATTTAATGACCAGCTCACAAATCATTGTCCTGAGAGGGAGGACATTAGCTTGATGGTAGATAGGAGGAGGCCTCTACGGTGTTTTCTGTTGGGAGTGAGGTGGTAGAGTGGTGTGCATGAGAAAGAGTGCATTGATGAAGTAAAATTGGCAAATCCTCTGCTCTGTTTTGCAATTTAAGACATTTCCTGGTAATTGTGCCTAAGGTAGTGGGTTAATTTCCACATTCTTGGAAAGAAATCCAGGCTCTTTAGCTCTCCTGAAATACATATCCTGTAATTTTAGGAGTTCTGACTAACGTGTTGCTCTACTAGATTTATCTTTCACTGACTATACTGGTAATGTTTCTTTCATCTACATTTATTTTTTGTGGGGCCAGAACAAGGTATGTTTTCTATAGATTAAGTTTGAAAATATCTGAGTAAGTATTGCAGATTGCATTATGATAAGGCCACGTAGACTTGGTTCATCTTCTCATACATGATTTTTTTTCCTCTTAAGACAAATATGGTCTCTTTAGAAGGCCTTACCAAAGTAGTTGATCCTTCTCAGCTCACCCCCGAGTTTGATGGCTGCTTGGAGTACAACCATGAAGAATGGATTGAAATCAGAGTTGCTTTTGAAGACTACATTAGCAATGCGACCCACATGCTGTCTCGGCTGGAGGAACTTCAGGACATCCTAGCCAAGAAGGAATTGCCTCAGGATTTAGAGGGGGCTCGGAATATGATCGAGGAGCATTCGCAGCTGAAGAAGAAGGTGATTAAAGCCCCCATAGAAGACTTGGATTTAGAGGGACAGAAGCTGCTGCAGAGGATTCAGAGCAGTGACAGCTTTCCCAAAAAGAACTCCGGCTCGGGCAACGCGGACCTGCAGAGCCTCCTACCCAAGGTGTCTGCCATGTTGGACCGGCTGCACTCAACTCGGCAGCACCTGCATCAGATGTGGCACGTGAGGAAGCTGAAGCTGGACCAGTGCTTTCAGCTGAGGCTGTTTGAACAGGATGCCGAGAAGGTAAAGGAGCAGGGAGAGGGAAGCTAAAATGAAGCCTGGAGGGGGAGGCCTCCTGGTTCACTGGGGCCGGCAGCCAGGGCCGCCTTGGTCGGGAGAAAGGGCCAAGGAAGGGTAAGCCACTCTCACGGCGTTGTTTCAGAACTCGCCAAGTGTCACTTCAGAGATCCGCCCTAAGTCTCCCTCCCTGTTTTCCTCCTTGGGCGGGCCAGTGCTATTTTAGGAACTCTGAGTTATTAATTACTGGCAGTTTGCTTTAGGATAACCGTAGGATGAATGAGAATGGTATCTCTAGTTAAAAGAGTGAACATTTTATAGAATTAGGTTATTGAAAGCGATAATTGTGTACGTGTTTTGCTAATAACTGCTCTTCACTCCTCTCTAGGTAGTGACAGAACACCGTTCAGATCTATCACTATGTTTTTAAAATAAAAGATGAATAATGTGTTAAAAATAATGGCTTCTGGGAAATATGGGCAGTGATTACTGACGGTCTCCTTTTATTCTTGTGCTCCAGACAAAATAACCCGTCCAAGCAAATGTTTGTGTTACAGGCTCAGTCTTAGCAATGTGGAAACACTTATTTATAGGACTGTGTTGTAAGCCATGAATATGAGTGAATTGATCTCTCTTAATTTGAGCCCATTGAATTTTTTTCATGGACAGGAGAATATTTTTAAAGCAAAAACCAAAAACAAAAAAACGGTATCACAAACCTTTGTTTCAAACAGTGACAAGCCACTACCGTTGTTTGGCAAGCTTTTAATATATCTGTCAGTGTACTTCTGTTTAAAGAAGTGCCTTGTCAAAGATGCTAGAAAATCTTCCTTTCAATTACTAGAAAAACAGGTGACTGTCTGGGATTCTGGTTCAAGTCATGATACCAGGACTAATTGATAATTACTCCTTTTTCCTTAAAGGTTTTCCTTGTGAACAGCATAATTGTCATCCTTTTCCAGGTAGTATCTGTATTGACCCTTGAGAGGGATGTCATCATTAAATTTTTTCTCCAGTCCTTTTTATTTTTATGACAGATTTCATTGTTTGCATTTGCACAGCTTTTAAAATACTGTTTGCACTAAAGCGCATATGATCTTGTAGTCGCTGGAATTGCTGTCGGTAATCTGTGGGCATCGCAAAACTGGTCCACATACCTGTAAGTCCCTAATTTCACCCAACAGGTCTTTAATTGAAGAGCAGTGCTTTCATCAGCCTGAGGGATTTGAATACCTCCTTAAAGAGTAGCATCTGCTCCTTACATCCTCGTCAAAGGAACGCAGTAGACATAAGATTTTCTCATAGACCCTGCAGGTTCCGAACTGCTTACTTTGTAGAAGTCAAGGATCTTTTGGACCCAAATCCCCGAGAGGTTATCAGAGGAATGACACTGCCCTTGATTGCCTTGGTCCTGCTCCTGGGCCTGTGCCAGTCGCTTCTCTTCCGGAGTGATTTCAGGTTTGTTTTTTTTTTTTCATTCTGGTAGATGTTTGACTGGATCACACACAACAAGGGCCTGTTTCTGAACAGCTACACCGAGATTGGGACCAGCCATCCTCACGCAATGGAGCTCCAGACACAGCACAACCACTTTGCCATGAACTGTATGGTAAGACGCTGTCAGAACAGACGTAGCTTGTGTGTGCGAGTATTTTAGCAGACGGGCGGTGTTTACACAGATGGTGTCCCAGTGCACTGCCAGGAGGCCGTGCAGGGCCTTTGGAGCTACCGATTCGGTGGTCGCAGCTGACCTCCAGGTGTGGGAAGTTCTCAGTGTTGGCGGTATCCACGGCGTCTTTTAAGTTTTAAACGAGCAAAAATGTGAAAACAAACAAACCGGTAGAACTCGAACTGGTTACTTGGCCGGTTCAACATGGATGATTTTGATGCTAGCTTGTGTGCTGTCCCTCTTAGGAGCCTACAGGGGCCCCAGAAAGGCTCCTCAGTGACCACGTGACTCTCCCGAGAGCCACTGTCGCTGGGCTGGCTGCCCTTCCCGAGGAAGAAGTAAGCCAGCCTGCCTGCTGTCTGCCTCAGGGCGCACTCCAGTTCTCCTGAAACGTGACGTTTCCTTCCAAGCTGAACTGAAGTAGTGGGGTCCGGACATGAGCCGTGCCTGGAGCTCCCTGGCTCTGTTTGGGGTTGATGTCCCCGATTCCCGTGGCCTGTCGTGACCAGATGGGGGGTTGTTGTAGGACTATTAAGCAAAACAGCAGAAGACCAATGAATTTTAAGTAGCACTTTTGTTACATTTTTGGAGTTACTACAACGAAAATATTCTATATTCTATAGAATATATTCTATAGCATATATGTTCTATATCCTATAGCATATATGTTCTTTCTATAGACAGTTAAGCTTCTAGAAATTTTCTTTTCAGGGACAAAGAGTTTTGGTTTGGACTTTGAGCCAGTCTGTGAGAATTAACCACTCGTGGACCTTATAGCTTTTTTTTTTTTTTTTTTTTTTTTTTACAGAGCACTGAAGCAATATAAAGATGGGCTTTTTTTTTTATTAATTAAGATACCACTTAATTGAAGTTTGGTCAACTAAATGCTCCAATTTAGGTAGTTTCAAAGATAACATTTAGCAATAAAATTTTTGTAGTAGACACCATCAGAAAAGTTTGATATCTGTTCTGGGGTTTGAGGTAAGAGAATTTCTGGTTTAAATGATCAAACCTGGGCATAGATGAGGAGAGCCAAAATGTTACCTTTGGAGGAAGCTTCTTAGAATATCTTCCCAAGAAATTTTTATCAGGTTTTCAGACCATTCTGACCCTGCAGCCACAGGCAGTAGGCATGCAAATCCACTGTATCACATGCTTTAAAAACAAGAAATGCTAACATACACTTCAAACAAACGAGGACACGCAATGTCTTCTCACCCCACCCACCATTATTAGTGGCACATTTAGGATCGAGAAGATGTGAGCGTGGTGTGGAAGGCAGCAGTGTGGGGCGGGAATGCAGAGTTTTCTCATCTGTAAAGTGGGGATTATAGCTGCCTTCCCTGGAGTTCTGTTATTTTATTTCCTCTCTATCTGTAAAATACTAAGACAATGCTGAACACATAGTAAGTAAGTACTTGATAAATGGTGATTATTAGCAGTCGCGTTATCACCAATTAAAAGCACTGTTAAACTTTGGGGAGCACCTGAGTGGCTCTGTCAGTTGAGCGTCTGACTCTTGATTTTGGCTTAAGTCATGATCCCAGGGTCGAGGGACTGAGCCCTGTGTCAGGCTTCGTGCTGGGAGAGAGAGGGAGGGAGAGAGAGAGAGAGGGAGGGAGAGAGAGAGAGGGGGGGG